CAGCAATGTTACTTAAACATTGGAGAATTTGATATTACATATCACATAATATAAATAAAAAATATGTATGATAAACAAATGTAAACAACCGTCTTCCATTGAGGAATGAGGGAACGAGACTCTCATAACATAGTAAAAAATTGTATTTGGTCAACTTGACAATTCCACTCCATAATCTGTAACTTATCGAGGTGTACTTTTTAACGAGCACTTTCCCCCTCTGGCTAGACAAATTCATGCTTTTCTGTGAAATATGATTTTGTTCCACCGAAGTGTTAAGAGACAGCTTTGTTGCCTTTACAAATCACACGTGTCAAATATACTTTACCGTCCCGGCAGATTCCTCCAGTCGTAAAGAAAAGCAGAGATAAACGTGGACGAGTGCGGGAGAACCAAAAATGCCGATAAATACAAGACGCTCCTAATTTTGAAATGGTGAATAAAACATGAATATGTTGGAGGGAAGATAAATGGAACGCAGAGGGAGAGTAGATAATACGGCACACCCACGGTGACACGGAGAAATGAAGAACCTGCTGAGGGAGACATTTAGTCAGCAGCAGGCAGGTAGACGGCTGGCACGGTTCCAAACGGCTCAAAACACAAAAGATTTACTCGTCCTCGTCTTCCCAAACCTGCTCATTATCATCTTTGCCCTCACTCAGTCTTCTTCAAAGCAAAACTTGACAGGTGAGCGGAGACGGAAAGAAAGATGGAGAGAAGAGGGAAGAAGTATCAGATTTATATCATGTTTTAAAATGTGTGTCCTTTAGTTTGTTGTTTGTGAATTAGATATAATAGTGTATAATAGTTTTGGGATTTCTACGCACCCCCCACCCCCACCCCCCCCTCCCCCCATCACCATACGATTGGTTTATTCCTGTCCAGATGCTTTGTGCTGTTTATCATTCGTAAAAGTATTGATGTTTTTTCAGGGGTTTTAAGTTGCAATTTTTGGAAAAATCAAAAACAAATTAGACAAAATACAAAAACAAGTCAATCATAGCCAAAAACCTTGGAATAAAATGCTTAGAGCTGCGATTAGAGGGAGTGTTTATGTGAGTCACTGAGGCTTGGTTGATATGAGATTTTAATTTAATTGGAGTGTGTGTGTGTGTGTGTGTGTGTGTGTGTGTGTGTGTATTTCTTATTGAGAAGAGGTCGAATCCTGATGTTCTTCCCCAGACTGTGATTTCCATTCGTCTGTCACTGACGAGCCTCCTACTGTACTGAATATGTGAAAGCAGCTGAGCCTGGAATATAACTGGTACAATAAGATACAGCCACAGTGTGAAAATACTTCATTTTAAGTGTTTATTTCCCTCCAGGAAGCTTTAAGAGAGCTTTACACATGCTAACAAACGGATGGTTCCAGAAGTCCATTATTCATACCTGCCTTAGTGATTGTGTGTCCTAATGTAATTGAACTATTTTAAAAATGAGATTAAAAATGTGAAGGGAAGTTGTTGAGTCCGAACAAAAGGACTGCTCCGAGGACATGAAGGATGTGCTGCAGGGATATCTACTCTAATAAGCTTAAAGGAAAGTGTGGTCCGTTTCCATTGTGCCTGATTGTAGCTGTGATTTAATCTGCTGTAAGTAGAGATCATTTATTTCATCCTGGACCTGATATGAGGTGTGGACTTTTTTTCTTTTTTTTCCCAGGCATGCCTTTTACATTTACATTGTTAAAGCAGCTGAGAGTGAATGGAAAACTGTGAAAAATATGAAGCAAACGTTCTCTTAAATCAATTGACACACTGCAAATTTTTTTTAGTTAATTATGATTCTGTTTGAGGAAAGTAGACATAGGAGAGAAGAGACAGTGTTTATTTTATGATGATGTCATATACATATACAGAAAGTGTTTTAATGTCTTTAAGAGAGAAAGCTTTAATTTGTAGAAAACAAAAAAAACATTGAAGGTTCTGTGGAGCAGGAGTGCAGATGTGGGTCGACTCTGTCAATGATGCAGTACTTCTGGCTAAAGTCTGTCCCAAACAGACAAATGGACATGAGACTCTAGGCTGGCCTACATATAAAATGCCAAAAGTGACCCAAATGTTTTTTTTACAACTTGGGCCTTCCTGTGGAAAAAAAAGTTGTCCTGGACATTGTCTAATGAAGAGGTCCCTTAAATAGGTCCATCTTTACTTCCTGATTACCTTGTTCCAGATAACTAGTAGCCGCCATGTGATGATGCTTCTTCCCACTCGTGGCCCAGATCTCACAGACATTTGTGAATAAGTTTCATTATGTTACAATGTATATGGGCCAAATAAAAGTGTTACATGTTCCACTTAAAGCTCCTAATGACGGGTTTCACCTTTTTGGTTTTAACAGCACTGATAATGCATGCTCTTTTTAAAAACTTGTGTGATTGTAGTCAGGAACATCCTTAACCCCAATGTGTAATTTTGGTCCTGACCCAACTTTTCAGGAAGCTCTTAATTCTACCTGAAAATAATCCAGTCAACATTCCATTTATAAAGATATATGGGCCATGAATGTGGTACATATATCATTTAATGAAATTAATTCCATAAAACGGTATGTTTTAGTTTTAAAGTAATGGCCGTGGTGGCTGGTTAAGGAAGCGGACTTGGGTCCGGAGGGCTTCAGGTTCAAGTTACCACTGAGGTGCTCTGAGCATGGCTCTGTCCCCACTCACTGCTCCTGGGCACTTAAAGCTGCCGACTGTTCACTTTGGTGATGAGTTAAAAACAGAGGTCACATTTGGTTGTGTGCTGTGTCACAATGACAAGTAGTTGACTTTCCACCTTCCTAAAGAAACAATCTGTAGCATGGACGAGATGAGAACTGAGAGAATCAGCAGTGAGAAACAGGAGTTTGAGTTGTGTTTCCTGCGACCGACTCAATTTATTCCTCCACCTCACTGTCTGACGCAGAGTCTGACTCCAGTTGTACTTCATCTTTTTATTGTTCATATTCAGAAACTCCGGAGGAGATGTGAGAGGCAGCAGAACGTAAACATCAGAGTGTGGCGTTCCATAAATGATCTGAAAAACTCATCATTTCCTGAGAGTTTTAAGACCAATAGATTAGAAGAGAATGGCCGTCTTTATGAGAGAGAACGCTGTGATCCTGCATCATCGGCCTGTTGTTCCTCTTCTGTTTAAACCTGTGTTTAGTACAGTATTGGTATATTGTTGTGGTGATCAGGTCCAGCTGCTGCTGCTGCTGCTGTTTGGGTCAACAACATTCAAACCAACTGTTGCTAGAGGTTTAATTTATTTTTTGAAAATATTTTGGAACAGGATCAGTGATATTATATATATAATATTTTTACCTGTTTTTGTAGCATTTGGTGAGTTGGTAGATAAAGCACTAATGCGTCCAAGTCTACGAAGGACACTCCAATGTGTCTCCACATTTTTTCTTTTTTTCTTCTTCAGTTTGAACTAGTAAACCCAGCTGTAGAGTGCTTTTAGCCTCGGTAACAGAACGGCTCCGTCCTTCTCAGTCTTTCATCAGCTCTTTATTTCACATTTTCATTCTAGCACATGTTGCACCAGCAGTATCACCTGTGTTCATTTCTCAGATCAATAAAAGGCAGAGAAGCCGTGACTCCGGGGTCATTTCAGCCGGGGATTGTGCTCCACACAGTTTTAATGGTACATCCGACTCCCGGAAGGCAGATGGATTAATTCTTGCGCCATTGCTTTTAAAAAAACAAACAACCCATTGTTTTCTGTATGTGAGAGAATAAACGTTGATTGGTTCTTGCTCTGACGGATTAAACGGATTAAGCAGGGCTTTCTCTAAAAATATGAAGCTGACGGTTTCTGAAACTCAGCGGGGAGAGTGAGTGGACTTATTGTCATGTTTCAGCTTTTGTTTTGCAGCAAGTCTGTCAGAGTTTCTCGTTTAAACCTCCCACATCTTTAATTTCTTTTACCTGTGCAGCTCTCCGTCTCCGTCTCCGTCTCCCCCCTGCCGTTTCCCTGAGTCACTGAGGACGTTTGGTGACTCATGCCCCCGCCCCGCCGACACCGGTCTCCTTTTCTTTCTCCAATCCTTCTTCTCCACATCTCAGCGAGATTGAGTGAATGTTGTGACCAGGGTCGGCTCAGCAGGCATGTGGGCCTGGATCAGTTAATAATCAAACTAATGAGCAGCAGTCCAAATGAGCTTTTAATGGCCTCTTTCTACCTGCGGCTATGAGAGAGGCATGGGTTGACAACAGAAGATGACAGGAAGAGGAGAGGTCAAAGAAGACGATGTATCCGAGAGGGAAAATATGAATTAACCTCAATAAGAAAGACAATGCTATCAATGTTTTTGATATGTTATATAAACTGCATTAACTACTTTTATAATACAGTTATGTAAACTACACATTCATGGTCATTTTTACTAATTAAACAAATAAATAAATGTGGTGGATCAATAGGGAACAAGGGTAAAATTAGTCTTTAAAAAAAAAAAAAAGAAATCCAGGATTACTAGACATTCAAGTTGGTGATCTTAATAGTTATCTGAAAAAATAAATCTCTATATAATCCAAATAACATTGGACGCAATCCCAAGTTCTCCTGCACATAGTGGCCAAAGAAATCAAGTACATTTTAAATAGGAGTGTTACACGAACAGAGCCTTGTGGTACCTCACCATAGATCACACTAAACCAAAATAAAATAGAAAAAAGGCAAAGTGTGTACAACAAGTTTTTTCTGATGTTAACTGTCTCCACTCTCCACTGCAGCGCTGCTCTGTAACAACTTCTAATTCCCAGAATAACTTCTAACCATTCTCAAGAGTTTCAACAGATATTAGCATCTTTAGCTAAACAAGGATTAACTGGTGTGGTTTAAATTTTAAAGAGATACTTTCAAACCACTGAACTTACCAGTTGCTCAGTGATGCCAACAAGAATCTCTTTAAAATGAACTTGTCGGCGCAGCATTAACCGTAGACAGGAACAGGAGTTTTTTCTTTCTTTTTTTATGAATTTTCCCTGCTTTTTTCTTCTTCTCCAGAGTGCCGTGATATATTGTTACCCATGATGCTACGGGAGTTGAGCGTGGCATTGGTCAGTATGGCTGATGGGCCTCATGATGAGAGAAGGAATAGCCTGGAGCTGCTCAACAACATCCTGGAGGTTCTCAGCAGGGACAGCGTGGTAAGACGCCACTTCTCGATATTTGACTGATGTTTGTGAAGTGTTTGTTGATCGATTAGAAAAAGGGGCTTAATTAGAAGAACTCCCCTTAGACCCACCTGCATAAGGCCAGTATAATTCAATAGTTCACCGTCTTACTGCAAAATACAAAACCTACTCCCAGTAACGGACTCTAGCCTGAAGATATTAAGTTCAAGTAATTTTCCTCTGAATTGTCAAACCATTTCTTTCCTCATTTCACTCCAGCGTGTTCCATTCGAGGAATGGTTGTCTTGTAGTTTGGCTCTGTGCAGAGAGCAATCCTAACCTTTTCCAATGACTTACATTCAATCAACAGCTAAAGTTGTTTTTTTTTTTTTTGTTTTGTTTTCAAAAAGTGGCAGAAGCACTGACAATGAAATGTCACTAGGAAACAAAATCACATTCTGGGTTGTCAAATGAGGTGCAGTTCTAGTGTGACACATCAGGATGCCAAAGGTAAACAGTGGCAACACAGCTGAGGGGTTTGCAAAGTTGCAAAGTTCCTCCGCTCACAGGTGATTTCAGTTGCTGTGCTTTTCTTACCGTTTTCCTCTAAACGGGATTGAATAACTATTGTATTTAATTTCTTAAAACAGTAATTAACAAACTAATTACTATTATTGTTTTATCTTATATTGGAATGATATTGTAAATCTTGTAGGATATAGATCATGATCCCACAGTTTACGATATTAAATAGAAATTAGTATTGAAGTATTTTAAATACTTCACTTTTGCCATTAGCAGATGTTTTAAGGGCTTTACTGTATAAACTGAAAGGCAAGTTTTTTTAATTATTTTTTCCCTCTAACATAACGTATTTTAATACACATTCACAAACACACAGAGATCGCCCACATGAAGCCAAGGGCTTTGTAATTGCTACTGCAGGACCTTGACAGCCTTCTGAGTCTTTGAAGTAAAGCTATGACACGTTTCCAGCTCTATTTATCTGGAATGCACTAATGATGCTCCAACCTGGAGAAGAGAGGAGGCAGAAATAATGAATGTGATGAGATAGGTCAGTCTGAAAAACAAAGGCAGGCAGTGGTGGAGTGTGGAAAACACATGACGGGTACAATCATGTTCAGGCGACCGAGCCAGTGATGCATGGCCTCAAAAAGTACGCCAGAACTTTTGGTGGCGAACAGGGGACACAGAGAGACAAATGTGTGTAACAGTCAGGCAGGGGCGACTTTTAGAAGGGGAAACTAGAATGCTGTGGAAAAAAAGGACCGTGAGGAGCTGGGAGTTTGATTCCTGACTTATTCTTTAAGAGTTATTAATCACAGCTTTTTAATAATGTTTTTTATATTTTTATATTATTTATGATTAAAATCAACTATTACTGGAATTTAGTTTAGAAATTATTAATTTCTGTAAATTGAATGTAACTTTTACGACACAATTAAACCCCCTGTAATTCAAATAATTTTACTGCCCATTAACTTTTGTGTGTGTTGCCCTATAACCCAGCCGTTACCCATGTTGCCATTTAAACACACTGAAAATAGTTTTTGTTTCACTAAAGCTCCTCAAGTGTAAAACTCTATCTCGATACCCAGCATGAAATTCCGACAAGCTGACTGGTTGTAGACCGATTAATATTTCTGAAGTTTGAAACCATCTCTTGATGCTGTTATTTATCATTTTCGTGCAGCAGTATGCAGTACAACATAAGTGTTTTTGTTCAAATTAAGACTAAACTGATTAATAATCAATATCTATAACTAAGATTAAGCATGATTAACTGTCAGTGTAATTAATGTGATTAATCCACTGTAGCTTGCAATTAATTCGATTAAAAAAATGTCCTTGTTTAACAGCCTTAATTACAACAATAAACGTGATTAAATGCAAACATTAGCTGTGGATTCGTCTCTGTTGCTTTGTTGATAAGCAGATACATTTTATTTATTGTAAGATTCTTAAGTTAATGTGACTTAAAATCTGGGTAAGAGTAAACAAGGATACTGTAAATAAAAGCGACTGACAAAAATAAATTGGCATAGATTTGAGATTCATAAATGCAGTTCTGGGGCCACACAGGATCACTAGTAGCTGTTTGATCAAACATGGGGATGTCTCATTTGGTTCCCACCTTCCTGACCACTCTGCAGCCAATTTTTTTAAATACTTCTTTAAAACTCCAAGAGTCTCAAAAGTTAAGAAGGAAGTCAAAAAACTAACATCAAATAAGTGAGGCAGACGTTATCATCTCCTCATCTCTTAGCTCTCGCTCCATCACTTTTTTCTTTGCCTTCTCTGTGTGTGTGTGTGTGTGTCACCTTATTAAGCTGCTGTCTCCCATTTACCTATAGGACACAGAGAGAGAGATTTATAAAGACAAAAAAGATCTAAAAAGACATGATGCAACTGACAGATACCCGCGTCAGTGCAGGGCGTGTGTGTGTGTGTGTGGGGGGGGGGGGGGGGGGGTTGCATTGAATATCGTAGCACTGCGTATGCAGCTTTGAGGGTAAGTGAAGAGAAGACACTAAAAAATGAAGACAGAGACCTGTGACTCACCAAAGCTTCCTTTCTCTTCCTCTACTTCTGAAATAGACACTGAAATATATATAAATATTCCGAGTTCAAGATAAATGACAAGACCTTTGGTTTGCTTGAGTTCCTGTTCCACAGGGCAGAGCCCGCTGCTTCAGAATCTGTCCCCAGACAGCCAACAGAGTTACAGTTAGCAGTAAAGGCCTGTTTGGAGTCAACAGCTGCGTCAGCCTCAGCTGGCGTTTGTATATAAGTGTAGGTGTGTGGGTGTGCATCGGCATCCTGCGGCTGTGACTCTGTGTGCAATTAATCAGGCCTTCCTGATTCTAATGCCCAGTCAAATTGTCTGCTATTAAAGACAACACCATTGCACAAAAGCACACCGGCATTCACAGGCGTTCAGAGCCAATCACACACCCCGTGCTTTCACGTAGATTGAAATAACTATGTGTTTTGAAACTGTCTTCAAAGATCACCTGAGCTGACAGTCCGCCTCTGTCTCACCTTATCCACCGGCTCCTCAGATATTTTCATTCTCCTTCACTGCGTCAATAATTGGCTCTGAGACCCTTATCTTTTCCAACAACCTGGCACCTCCATCTTTACCCCTGATTTGTCTAATTTGAAATTTTCTTTACTCAGCACATGTCCAAACAGCCTCTAGCTTTATCTGACTTTGTGCTTTTCTTCAATCCTGTCTTTTCTTATGATTCAGAATGAAGATCTTCCTAGCAGGTCTCACTACAATATTTTTGCCTTTCGTAAACTCATCAAATCACCACAGCACATGAGAAATGGCTTAGAGCTGATCACTTATGCATTTCTCATCAGTGTGACTGAAAAAACACATCACTTTGTCCCTTATCTACATAACCTGCACCAACCTCATGTACTCATCTGCCGCTCCTAACCTCTTCTATATGATACCCACTTATTCCTCTATGCCAGTAGTTATCAACCGTTTATGGTCATTCTACACTTTAAACAAGTGGAGGTTTTCAAGCCCCACCGGCCTCCGTCGGCCAAACAAAAATCTTGACAAATTATATTGCATATTTTATGAACACCAAGTAATATCATATTTTATAATATATCCAAATCAACAATATCAAATAACACAAAGTGGCATCATCATCATGAAAACCATTTGTCACTTTCTCCATCTGTTTCCCGAAATCCTCCGTTCACATTCACCACACACTCGGCTCCGTTGCAGTACATTTGAATTCTCCACCACGGTGTCTTTTAAAACAAAATCTCTTTCACCTACTACCTAACTATTGGTGGACCCTATTTCTTTTTACACCTGAGTGATCGACTCCCACAAGGTCGTTACATACCTCCTTAAAGTTGATCCACACACACATTAATACAAGGGCACTAGGGCTGGTGTGTGTGTTGGTGAACATAGTTTTTACTTTCAGAGTTACTACCCTGCAGCAAGGCTGTGTTTCTGTGAATGTGTGTGCGGTGTGTGTGTGTGGTCCTCCCAGTGTGTGGACGAAGCCTTGTCTCTATAAATGTGCATATTTCACTGGTGAGGAGCCCTTGTCCTATTTGTTCAGACCTACTTTCTCTGTTCACAGGTCACTAAACACAGTTAACACAAATTCTTTTTTTAAATTTCATTTCAAGTAAAAGTCCATTACAAAAACTCTGTATTTCCAGTATTTGACCAGAGGCGAGTCTTCCCACTATTACTCGTTAGTTTTTGAATTGCTTTCATGTCAGGCCTCCCATTGACTTAAAATCAAATTCTAATTATGCAAGACCGTTTGGGCGATTCCTTTCTTAATTAAACAGCCTCAGTCATATGCATATTATTTTCTTTTTTGCCAGAGATTCAATGTCATCTGACTCTACGACTGCAAACTAGTTCCCAAGTATATTTATGCCACGAGACATTTGCGTAAGATTTCCATTTCCATTTCCACATTATACTGTTGGACCATAAATAAATATTGGTACTTTAAAAACATGTGTGTCAACTGTTTTAATTGTTGTAGGTATTCAACGGTGGTGTAATGGATTATAATTAAGGAGAGAATTTTACAAAAATGAACACAGCAAATTTGTCGCCATTTAAGGTTCAAATGTCTCCCATTCCCATGATTAGCTGATATTGCTGCCGTTGCTCCTTTCCTAGAAAGGAACCACAAATTCTGAGTCAGAAAACATCAGTCTCCAATGTTCTGTGAAGGAAAAATTCTGAGAAAGTCAAAACATTATGCTGGAGTGAATGCCGCAGGAGCTGCTGTGCATCGTGTTTTTCTGGGACCTGAGAGTATAACAATATTTCATTTCTCTTCCCTCCCCCGTGTCCATTTCTGTATTTCCTTCAGGGTGAAACATTCCAACACATCCAGGACATTGTCGTGTCCCTGTTAAGGACCATCAACCAGACTGTCATCACAATGGGCCGAGAGCACGCTTTGATTGTGAGTACATGCTTTTCAGCTGCTGGCTACTTGGGAAAATGATGGGAAAATATTCTTTTTTGTTAGCTCATGTTCCCTAGTAAAAAAAAAAATCTTGTCTCCAACAACTGCTGCCGACTTTGCAGTATTACTTATAAAATATGCTGCAGTGGAGATTTTTTTTAATTTAAAATACACACTTTTATTGTACATACAAGACAACAGTCAGGAGAGAGGGCTCAAACAGCTTTGTGTTGTTATAGGACAGATTATAAAAATACATGAACTGGACGATTTGGGTACAGACTACCAGTGTGACGATGGGCAGGATTCCCATTGGTTGGGACTGGAAAGCAGAAAAGAATCTGGTAACAAAACCTGTATGTGTGAATATTACAGGTGTGTTTGTCGCACGGACAGAACCATGCAGAACCATGTGCAGAGTTGAGCAAATGATTTAAGTTCTAAATAGGAGAACTTCTGTTCAGTTATGGTCAGTTGTAGATCCATAGAACCACGGTTTTACTTTTATTTCTGTGGTTTATTTTAAAGATGGAGGATATTTGTTGGACCAGCAATCGTCATTGGTAGAGTTGTCTCTAAAACCAAATGTCAGCTGGTTACCAGAACACAACTAGGAAAGACGTTTGATTTAAATTTTCCATCAGACCCTATGGGCTGGGGACCACAGTCTGTGACCTTGTATTGAAAAACCAGTCTAAAGGTTCACTTGGTATCAGTCAAATGTGCAGTTTTTATACTTATTGACAAGGTCTGACTTAAGAGGACACCAGAAGGGGGTGATGACTCACCCTTGGCCGTCAATCTTGGAGTTGTCCAAGCAACTCGTAAAGAGACAGTTGAGTTAATGTTTCATTCACAGTCCAAAGAAATGGAGTTTAACTTCCATGTCAGATGTCCATACAGTTTAAACTATAACCAACCTTTTCAATGCATTTTGACAGATTTGTGTTTTCTTTATTGTCTCGTCATTTCTGGCATTGATGAATCATTGTATCATAACACTGAAATGATGTCAAGCCTGTACTGGTTCAACAAAATACTACTGAAGACTAATCCTAAGTGTGTGTCGGCATTACTGACTGCAAGTGTGTCTTTGTGTATCAGCGTTGAAATGTTTGTGAAAATCACAGAAACCAGATTGCGATTTACAGCAATACTTCCGTCTTCAAGGATTATAGAGTGGGAAATCCATCATCCTGTTGATCAAAGTTGTCAAATGTTCTAATGATCTGACGGCGCCTGTCAGCCTCCATCAGCAACACATCACATTGTCTCTTTATGCATTCTCAATGGAGCGCTCCGAAATCCTGATATAAACGCAGTGAGACGTTCTTCATTGCGGAGAAATCAGCATGTCGTGACCTCTGAGCGCTTGTGGTTGATGCTACATTCAAGTTGGCCGTCAGGCCGTTCAAACTGTTGAGATTCTCCTCCTTATTGCTGTAATTCTAACCGCAGACATTTGGAAGATGAATTCCCAGCTGTAGTCTTGAGTCAGTCTTTGTGTGAATCATTTCTACCTCGATCCATCTGTCTGAACGGCACAAATGAGACAAGTTACAAACACTGTTGTCATTCTGTCATTCAAAATGTGACTCTGTGACTCTTAAGAGAAAACAGCAGCCTCTGTCTGTGTGGGATAATCATCACACGGTGGACAGTCAGTATTGGCTCCAGCTGGGGGAAAATTGTTTCCTATTTTCCTCAAATTCCATCCTGGATGCGTCTGAGACATGGATTCAACAACTCCTTTGGCCCTTATTTCTTTCTTCTTTTTTTCTTCTTCTGTCAAATCCCTCGGTGTATTAAGTCCCACTTGGAGATGGATCACCCCAGAAAAATTGCCTTTCACGCAGATGCAGCGTGGAAGAATCTCAGCCTTGAAATCGAGCTGCTATACATGAAATGACCATGAAAACACTGCATCACTCCAGAACTATGAAAACCATAATCCACACAAGTTGTTGGCTGTTTTTTTCTTTTCCTTCCCCCGAGACTCAGAGCCACCAGAAGCACTTTTTGCGGAGTTTTTTGACACGGGCCTTGGTCCCGACGCGGCTGGACGGAGCAGGCGTAGGCTTGGTCACAGCAGGTGCAGGCACATCGTACTCCCCCTCCAGGGCCTCCATAACTACCTGGAACCGTCCCTCCTGCTGTCGGAAATCGTGCTCTACACTGTGGAGAGTGAAAGAGAGAGAGGTTGGTGGAGTCGGTGCACGGTGTTCAGGTCAGATGAATTAAGGCATCAAACGTTTCAGTGGCATTAGACGCTGCTGTAGGTGAAAGGATGAAATGAGGAGAAGAGGAGCGCAGTGATCAGTGTTGGTGTGCACCGTCAGCCTCCACCCACACCCACACCCACAGCCTGTCACACAGCTCCAGTTTCATGTGCTTAGTATTCTGTCTGCTCACACGTTGGTGGAACCTAAATGAAAAAGTAAATAGGAAAACTTGAAGAGAGGGCATTTGCCAAATATAAAGAGAGAGAAAGTGTTCAAAGCTGACCCTCTTGGCTTCTCTTCATGCATTTCTTAACCCCCTTCTCTTTGAAGTGTCCACCACTGCAGGTCATTGTAGAGAAAACTATGTTTTACTTTCCTCTCTTCCTTCCTAATCACCGTGTCTGAGTGTGTTTTTTCCGGTATTCCTGAACTTGTGGGGACGTTTCTTTGGTGAATGTTATTGTTGTGGGGACACTTTGTCCTTCTGGGGACATTCCACACTCAGTGAAAGTGTAATTGGTGGTTAAAGATGTGGTTTGGAGTTAGGGTTAAGGGATAAGATTAAGATTCAGTATAAATTATTGATGGTTACAGTCGGGGTGAAGAGCTAAACAACAGAAAAACTCTGTGTGTGTTTGTACTCCTGTCATGTATCTTATTGAGGACCATTTTTGGCACTGTTCCTGGGACAAACATTTTCAAGTTACGATCTGGTAAATGTTAATTAAAAAAAATTATAATTGTATTTATCATAATTATATTGATTGTTAAGATTATGCTTAGCCATAAAACATGGATGGAGCTTTACAAACCTCTAAGTGTATGTGCATTCCTGTATGTGAATGTGTGTGTGTGTGTGTGTAAAGCTGCAAGGCCCTAGATTTTAGAGTTAATTAACCAAATGATGAGGCGAAGCAGGGAGAGGCCGCTGCACTTATTCCCATCTGTCTGTAAGCCAACAAACTGCTACATAAACACATACGTTCTCTCCTGGCACCAATGCTGTATGTGCGTGCACTGCAGCCCGTCCGCAGCTGAGTGAGGGATAATGGAGATACACACGGGCCTCTGTGAGGAGGAAGAAAGGAAAGTGAAGCTCCTGTGGGAGCTGGGAGGACGAAAGAAAAGTGAACTAATAAACCAGGGCAGTCAGGTTAGGGCAGGAAAAAGAAGGTGATGGTGTAAAGTAAATGAGGTGAAGATGACCACTGGAGACGTGGTCAAACGAGGACAGGGAGGTCTCTGTTCCCCAGGATGGAGCTGAAGAAATGGCCGACTGGACAGAGTGTGTTTTACAACAGTGAAGCCCTCGCTTTGTCAGTCAGATCAGTGAGAGAATATATACAGTAGGTGGGTTAGAGTCCCTCGTTGTTGCTGAGGTCAGGTGTGTATATCAATGAGAAAGTCAAGGCATATATTTTCTAGTAAAGGAGCACTTGCATATTTTAATTCCTTGTGGTCTACCATTCTCTTACGGTGGACCGCAACCTACATATTGAGCACCTTTGGGCAAAACATTTTAGGATGGAGAAAATGTTTCTCAAGAAAATATATTGCACATGTGAGAATACCTGAGGTTGTAGGATTTATATGTTGTTAGATGTGCAGGGAAGTGCCTGAGTGTTGAATACAGTGTATTTCTTCATTTGTCTCTTCAGTGTTCCAGGGCAGAAACAGAGCAGCTGCCAAACTCACCCTGCCTTCCTCCCCCTCTCCCTCCCCTCTGTCATTCACCACACAAATTAATTAGTGATGACAATGGGAAAACATCTTCAGGGCGACAGCCGAATAACAAGGCTGTTTTTTTTTTTTTTTTTTTGTTCAAAGACTGAATCATTTTGATGGCTGTTTGAGTCTCATATGTTATTCAACCTCAGCCTGTGGGTTTCTGCCTCCCTCTTCATCACCTTTCCCCCTCCATCCTGGTTCGGCTTGGTTAAAAGGTTTTTGACAAGACAGCTATAGAGCACAGAAAGAGCTGTTTTCCTGCTTGCCTTTATTACCATGCACTTCAGAACTGTGTACATCTACAACAAACGCACTTGTGCTGATTTATGGGATGGAAAATTGAACCTGAATTAGAACTTGATTTCCATGCCTTGTGTTATAAATGCACTTATTTGTGGGTTTCCTGGTTTTTCCTACAAACACTAGTTCTTTTTTGATTAATGACATTATTATTCAGAAGGTAAAGAATCACAAGTGAAAGATGAGGCAAAAATCCAGAGAATATTTGAGGGAAATCAACCAGATATATATATATATATATATATATATATATATATATATGTATATAAAACAAAAACAACAACAAAATAAATTTTATAGTATCTTCATCACTTCTGTTAATGCTCCTTTGCATTATTAGCTCATGAAATATTTATGTATTGTATTTTCACTCATTGGAATGTTAGTAACTGGTGACTAATTAGATAATAATAATATTAATAATTGTTCTAGTTTTGGGAAAAGGTCTGAAAGGATCACTAGGTGTAATAACGTGATTCTCTCTTCTTTATGGTTCCTCCCAGAGGAACCATATACTTAATGGTGCCTCTTGTGGCAGCCTATGTAACTAACACTATGAATTTCCCCATTGTTGGATGGACGAAGGACTTCAATTTGGTAACGACCTTTGTTATTCTCCTTTTTTTTTTTACCTTTGGTTATTGGAAGCTTTTTGTATGCACTGTAAACACACACACACACACATATATATTATATATATTAGTACATAGTCAGGTGCTGTATATACCGTACACTACAATATGGCAGTCGTTTCCCCCTGGTCTTCATTATTTTACTGTGTTGAGAATTTTATTCCGTTAATTAAACTCGAGGGAAATAAGCTGGAGAAAGGGTGAAGAGGAAGTTGGATTTGGATGAAAAGTATCAGAAATGGATAACGGTAGAGACAACACCACATGACAGAGGGGGTGGGGGGGGGGTGTGAAGGAAGGATGCAGATGCAGAGCTGCTGGGTGGCGAATGTCACTTGAGATTTGGAGAAAATAGGAATAAAGCTCTTGCATAATGTCTCTTTATCCCTTGTGGCCACCATGGGAAATTATGTGATTGTAAACAAACAGCATCCACTTCAAACGTTTGGGTTTTATTCATGCAGGCTTCAGACTCAAAGGGGGTTTTGTGCCAAATTGTTCCAGCCACAGCTATAAATTATTCTTGGGTCTGTGCGATTTACTCTGGATATATGAGAAAGAAATAAAAAATAAAAGAAAAACATTGGCTGAGGCTCGGTGGTGGCCGGTGTGGTTTCCTCTCTGATAGACAGGTTGATACTACAGTATAAAAAGACGTGACAATTATATAGAAAATGGTGTGTGTTTGTAAAGTCGATGACGACACACAGATGTTAAAGATTACTGGAAAATTTCTAGAAAACCAACGTCACAAAAAGAGCATTTTAAATGAGTAATACAGCCTCAGAAAAGTGGAATAAATCAGCTTCTAGGTCTTTTTAATTATTGCTGCAGCAGAAATGTCACGTCATTGATGGGCTTTTGTGATGCAGTAAACTCATTATCATCATCAGATTACCTGTAGATGATGCATGCTGTCTTTTGGCAGGTGGCGCAGTTGTTGATGTCCTGACCAGTTCTGTATGAGCTGCGTCTGTGAAAGCAGTGAATGGAAAACTTTTAGCCCCGGTGATGAATTTACTTTAATCCAACAGACACACACGTTCATGTTCACTTCTTAATGACATTTAACTCTGCAGGACTAAATCAACCAGCATTTGTAATTATGACTCATGCAGTATTTGAGAAAATATAAAGAAGTACTGTTGATTATTTTTGTACTCATAGGTGACCGACCATGTTTTTTAATTAGAAATATTCCCTCCCCTCCTTGTCTCACCACGTTTCTTCCTCCCTCCATCAAAGGGCACAGAATGGTCTCCAGACTGTTCTCTACGAGTGACAGTTTTGATAATGTAAAAATAACTGCCGGCCAACTGCTCCTTCTGTGGTACTTTAAACCTTAATTAGTGACAAACTGCATATTAACACACTTATTCAGTGCACAGCCAACGCTTCACTTTGTTAATTAGTCATGAAATTTAATGCAGGCCAATCAGTTCTGGGTTAATTTCTACGTAGCGTTTTAAACTTGATGGTTAGCCCAGTAAACACTGAGCGCTGGCTGAAAAAAACAAACAAAAAACAGATAGCTAAGTGTTAAATAGTGCTAAAATGGCACCAAAATATAAGAACAGATTTGATAAAATGGTCTTGTAAAAGATCTAAAAAAAACTAAAGTCCTTCTCCAGGACTTGGACATTGTTTCCATTAGACTGTGATGTTTAGAAGAAAGTCTCCAGGAGGTGAGTCAATCCAATGTGTTTACCAGTCCAGGCAGGTCAGAACCGTTCTGTACAGTGACTGTCTCCACAGGTCTGATTAGGAACAGCCATCACATTCAAGTCTACTATGTGAAAAACAAATAGGTCAGTGAAGGCAACACTAGAAAATAGTTTCTTCAAGGATGGAAGCACAGAGGCAGAGTGTGTTATGAAGTCGTCAACTTTCAGAGCGAACAGGTGAAGACAGATACAAAACGGTGTAAAAAGAAACAAATGTGTGTAAAACACACTCTCAGAAGAACTCTTCCTGCCCGCGGGTCAAATCAAAAGTAAACTTCAACACAGTGAGGTTTTCTAATGGCTGTGCACTGTCATGTGTGGATGAGAGAGTACCTGATTTGCATCAATAGAGTAGATATTTTAATTACATCGAGATAGAGCCTGTGGCAAACCTGGCGACACAGAATTTTCCCATACCAGTCTTTATCAGAGACAACAACAGGGGGAGTCGACAAGTCTTTGCTGCAGGAAGGAAAGTGCAAGAGCTGAGCATGAAAAGCCTTGAGCTCAGCAGACACTTTTATCACAGTGATCACAGCAGAACACTTAGAGTACTTCTAATCAAAGCAGCAGATACATGCACCCCCCACCCCCTGCCTCCACCCACCCCCAAGTCCTGCTACACCTCTGACTTTAGTCTTTTGTTCTGTGACTCTAAAAATGACTCTCTTTGTGCCTTCTCACCAATCTACTGTAACCCATGTTAGGGCTCTGTCTCACACTCCATACCCTGTATACATACCCGTTATGGATACAGAATTCCAAACAGGAATGGTCGTCTGCTATTAGAGTAAAATATAATATGGTTATTTTGAGATATCTTTGGTGTTGATTACTTGGTAAAGAAGAAAATAAATTATCTGGTTGGTCTTAGTATTTGTTAGATACCTCATGGGGCTGCATCTGTATCGGACAGGAAAAAGTAGTGCCGACCAGGATCCACAGTGAATACTACAGAAGTGATAGAAGCTATAAAAGAAGCCCAAGGTGAAGATTGAAGAGGGACAAGTGAGAAAAAAAAAGAATAGTGAAATAGTGGGAGGAGATGGTGGATCACTGTGTGTACGTGGAGGTGAAAGATAAAGAGAAATATAAAGCAGAAGGAGAGAATTAATTATAAATGAAGGCGGGGCGAGGTGGGAGGACGGAGGTGTAGAAAAGGATCATTTGCTTAAAGAAGAGTTTCAGAGCCCTGAGCGGAGCATCGACCCGAATCAAGAATGGATGTAGATGAGATAAACTACGGGCGTGGGGCAGGTGGATAAAAGAATCAACATGACAGAACGGGAACTCAAAGAGTTGCATTGTGGGATGAAACGACATCTCTACCGTTGGGACTCTTTTATATTCTGTATGGTCCATATCAGCTGGGTTTGTTACATGAAAGGACAACAGGAGGTTTAGGGATTCACTAATACTGACATCAGCGTGTCTCGTTTCCCAAACGACATAAATCACACACTCACGCTTACAGGAATACACCAAGGGACTGACATTTAGAGTCTATTACACAGACTTAAAAGCCTGTCAGCAGACTCATCATATCCCATACAAACACTTATATATCCTCAGCTGCCTCTGACACCTTGACCCCTTCAGTTTGTCAATATTCTCCTCATTATTCCAGCTGGCTATTTTTTCCGATCGTTTCATGAAGGTTTGATCTCAGTAAACACACAGAACAGGCAATGAATACATGTTTAAGTCAACAACTAGTCAGCTATTTGCAATCTAACGCAAGATGTGCGAGGCATTTTCATGACATTTTCTGCATCATCGTTGTTGACCCACTGTCCCATTGGCTATTCTGGATACAGAAATCCTTTTTGTAGCAATAAAACAAAGTCCAGCCAAATTAGTCCTGTTTGCAATACTTCTGTTGTCCAGTAGGGGCACTTTTCCTTCAAGCTACATATGCAAATTAATATTGTTATAAGTATTCGTTACAATGTTAATTAAAAATATCAACTTTTCTATTAAGCATTGAAAATTTAATTTCCTTGACCTTTTGCCCTGGGTCCTTAACATCCATATTTATAACCTTGGCTTTGGATTTTGAATAAATTTGTATTTAATCAGTCACGAGATTCCACAAAAAAGTCTTATTCGGGCAATAATATTGTATGAAATGATATAATATTAATGACATTTCTGATCAATTAATAACATCTTAGAAAAGAGCGTAGCTGCAGTTCTGGAGGACGGAGCTAAGTGCTGGCCATTCAAGATTCAAAGGCTTGGGCTTTAAACACTGCAGTGACTGGACAAAAAGTTTAATGTCTGGTTTTAAACGTCACTAAATTTAATTTAAGTAATTTAGCCAGCCATTAGGTGGGCGCCTCGTTCAGCTGACTGTTTCATTCAGATAGAGAATAAAAAAGGAAAAGTAACCTTTTTGTGAGATGTCATTTCAAATGCGAAGCACATTCGCAACAACTAGTTCATAATAAAATAACAGAACTCAAAACTCAAAGGGTTCAGAGCAGAAACAAAGGCACAGGAACTCTTAAATAGTCGGTGAAATAAATGATAGAGGTCGAGCACAAACAGCTTTTTAGGCAGCATTTAAATCCTGAACAGCAAGGACGGGGTAAAAACAATTAATAAATAAATTGCTGTCAATATGTATGTTTGCTGTTAGCGCTAATGAGGCTCTTAAGGGAAGTAATACAACAATGTGGTGTCTGAGTGCAGTAAATTTCAAAAAGTACAGTTTTCTGCTCAAGTCCGCTCTAACCCAGACCTTCTGCCGACACATGACCATAGGCTGGTATGTTGTTCCGCTGTTGGCAAGCAAGCAGGATAGTCTACTGCACCATACAAATATGGCTATTTTCTAAAATAAATGGTCATTTTGGCTTTAGTGTTTTACATAATCAACAATACGCAGATTGTATTCAAAGGACTTCTTCTTGCTGACATCTAATATAGTAGTTCTGCTCTCAATTAAACAGCATGGTACGCACCTTTTTAGCATGCAATTGAAAAAAGTGAAAAAAAAAATCATAGCTTAAAATATGGCACCTTTCAGTAAATCTACTTTGTTACTTTTATTTGAAACAAGGCCAATTTCCACATGTATGTTTTTCATTCCCTTTTCTCACCCTTCACTGAGGGCCTTGCTCTTTTCCAGATCTTGTATGACGTTGAGAAGCACCTTGATCTTCTCCTGATTGGACATTAGATTCTCCTCCACGCACTGCAGCTGTCCTTCTAGTCCACGTGGGGCGTTCCCTGCGTTCACCGTCATCAGTCCACCTGGGGCCCCGTTACAGTGTGCTTTCATATGAGTCTTACAAGGCAGTGTGTGGTCATCAAATGATCGGCTCTTCTGTTTGGAACAGTCTCTGAGTTTCTTCCCCTCGGAGGACGTGTGATTGGGAGAAGTCGCAGTCTCCTGGACGTTTTTGGTCTGTGGTACCGGGGTGGATGGTCTGGAGAGAACAGTTTTAGGAGAGTGTTTGGGAGGAGGAGGTGGGCTGTGGGGGGGTTTTGAATCACTGCTGATCGACGGAGTCTCAGGTTTGGAGGTTATATGGACGATTGTGTGGTGAAGGGTAGGCTCCGGTGGAGCTGTGTTTTCAACAAGTTTATTGGTCAGAGGTGGTTTTGTCACGTCTGCTGGAGTTGTGTGTCTCTGTTGTGTATGCATGGCCTTATCTGTAGTGCTGCGGGCGTGTGTCTCTGTTGTTTGTGTAGCCGAGTCCTTGTAAAGAGTAAAGTCAGCAGAATGCGGTCTGGTCTTCGGCCTTTGGTCTTTTGTTTTGTTCTGACTCTGTGACGTGTGGTTGGAGTGTGAGCTCTGTGTTTTTGGCATCGTGTGTGAATGCTGTGGTAACTGAGACGTTCTGACCGATGTGTAAGTGGTGGAGTGTGCTGAGTCAGTCTTTTTGCTGCAGGACTGAGGGTCTACAACGGAATCATTTTTTGGCTGGTTTTGGGCGACGGGTTGTTTCCGGGCAGGGTTAGGTAAAGTCTGGCTGGCTGTAATCGGATTGACAGCTCTTCGACGACACGCTCCTGTGCACGGTGTCATTTGGGACCGTCTCCTGCCACAGGTCTCACAGAGACGACCTGGGGAACCTGTCATCATTCTGCAGGGCCGTGGTGTGGCGGCGTGTGTGGCCGTACAGACACTGCTGGTCTTCACCACTGAGCGATGGCCCTCGATTCGCAGTGACTGGACTCTCCTCTGCTCACAGGCCTTCTCCACATCTGTGGCCTCAGTACAAACCCCACCAACCGCATCGGAGGCTACAACACTTCCATTTGCATAGCGACCTGCTTTTTTCCCTCTCAGGTCCTTGGGATTTGTACGAATACTTTTGATCTGGCAGTAAACTCTGCTGCCTGACCCCTGTGACCCCATATCGTCCTGTGTCAAGCTGTTGATCTCGTTCTGAGATGTTTCCTTGGACACGGGCAGGCTGCTGCTGCCACCTTCGATAATCTCTGCTGCGGTTGCTTTATCTTTGGCCCCGGTGAATGGATGATGTGTTTTGGTTGGTTGGCTGCTTTGTCGTTTGATGGAGGGAAGAATCCGCAGTCCTGGAGACGTCTGCACCCCGACACTGCACAGTGGACCCCATCGTGCCCCTGCCAGAGGGACACCTAGTGCAGGCACTGGATTGGTTGGGTCAGCCACCCTCCTTCCCATAATCCCATGCAGGTTTTCTCAGCCCCCTGAGGAGCTGAATGGGATAAAGGTAATGGATGACATTAGCCAACGTCTGCAGAGTTATCCAATAAGAAGGAGTGAGGTTTCCTGTTTTTTTTTTCCCACAGGAAGAAGTGTGTAAACGTTTAAGTAGATGGTGGGATACAGGAACTCAATATCCAATAAAGCTGTGAACTTTCAGTGTTATTCCTTATTGGACGTCAGTAGAAGTTGGATGGGCTCTCTGGGAATTGTCCGCAGGCTCTGTAGAGGAAAAAAGAAATGCAGTGAGTAATGCAGCTTATATTACCGAGAGCAGGACAACGAAGTAAAAAGATACAGGTATTAGTCGGTGAAGCACAGAATGGAGCGTTAACCTGGACTGAATGTACACACACGACCGGATCAATGAAACACCATCAACGCTTTATTAGGCCATAGGGGTTGGTGGGGGGTGCATTTACTGGAGGGCAACTCTAAATCTCATAAGCTTGGTTCTCTTGTAGAAACAGGACTGACTTTTGAGTTTTCCGTGGGGTAAAACCTCATGTGTTTGTGAATTCCCAAGTAGCACAAACCTCATCAGCATTTTGTCAATAAATCTTTCAACATTAACACTGAAGATTTTAATGCAGTCTTTTTAATGGAGTGACGCGTTTCACATACGTAAACCGTTGACGCATATTTATCCAGAGGCTGTTCCTGAAAGAGGTACACGTCTGTGGAGATGATAATTTAAACCATCATTCTCCTCCCACTGAGTTCGATACATTATTTCTCTAGTGAGCCCCGAGTGGGAGCTCGTCCAATGCACATCCCCCTACACCTGCAACCATGCGCCGATTAGATTACCTGTCAATTATGCAGTGTACATGGTCTAATACCTGCTGCTCCACCGTGTATTTTACTCTAAATGGAGCCATCATTTGCTCAAATGGACATCTTTGGGTATTAAATAAGATTGGAAACAATGATTAGATTCAGCAAAGTGTTTACTGACTTTGTAAATCAAAAAAGATTGTTTACAACACAGTCTTCTCAGAATTTTCATATCACTAAGCACTGACTCAGATATTGAGGTAATATAACCAAACTTTTTCCTCTGAGGAAATAAAGCAATCGAAGCAGCAGATGTTGGTGGAGGCCAAAGACATAAAGAAGACATAAAATGAATAACATTTAAAAACTCATGGGTACAAAATTTACACTATAATTATTCACAGCCATACCTGGAGGTATACAGCTCAGCTCCACTAACAATTAAATCACACTCTTTGTTCCTGGGGGTGAAGAACAGTTTTGTATTGTGCTTACAAAACGGAAGTAATTTAACTCTGTCTGTGTTAAATAAACACTTTAGATACTGTTCACCTTCAACTACTGCACACAGTTTTTAATATTGATATTTTTAGTACTTGATAGTACATGGGCCAGATGTCTGTTTTTGACGAAGAAAAAGGTATTTGTTCACAAAATAATATTAACATCAAACTGGCCAATTGGCTTTCTTCAATTCCTGCGAGTGTCAACACTGTGTTCAACTAAACAGGCACAGGGTTCACACTGATACATTTTGAATAAATGAGACGAGACACTGCTGTATATTCATTCTTTCCATTGAAACAAAATTGTGTTGATAGGTTTCCTTGTACTTAACATGATAATGCTTCTTCTTGGTCCGGCCCATGAATTCCCTATGACCTATTTGTGACCCCTGAACTAAAATGACTGTGACACCACTGCTGTACTAGATTCTCAAGAAAAAGACAGGGCACTGCTTTTTAATTTACAGACTGTCTGCATTCATTTAGGATCCTCAGAGATTAATTACAGAAAGTTTCAAATGAGTAAGTGTTTCTCGGAAAGTTCCCGGTGGTTTTAGAGCTGCGTCTGTCACGCTGGCTGATGTAGATAGAGACCGGACAGGTGCTAGCTCACCCTGACGGTGATGAGCCCCGCCACTGTTCTGATGGTTCATAAATATTCAGGATGAGGTTTGTCTGCACATTCAATACTCCATGTGACCTGTGTCAACTCATGGTGAAGCCTGGTATCTCAAGCTGTTTTAACAGCATGAAGTGAATTAAACTAAACACTTTTGCCTCATTATGCACTTTTCTCTCTGACACCATGCTTTAAAACCAAATTAATCTCTTTGGAACTTAATTTTCATTTAGGATAATGAAATTTCATCACCAAATGAAGAAACACACACATACGGGTCTTCACACTCTGTTAGCCTCCCCAGGAGACACAGCAATAGATTAGGAAACGGCCCAGAACAGAGACCTGGAATGGTGGGCCATCTGGCCAAATCAGTTGGGTTAAGAGAAACCTTTCATAATAAAACAATAAACATAATAATACGTATTATGTTTATTATAGTAAAACCTGGGTTGCAGACAGAAGTGAATCTGATCATTTTGCTCTTATTGACCACAGCTTTAGACCTTTGCCAGCCACTCCTCTCTGACACAGTGTAATGTTTCACAGCCTGATGTACTTTACTACTACAGCTGCGTGCTGCGTTTTTGGCCAAGTGAAAGATCAAATTTTTGATTCGCAGTTGACTTGACAGTCTTAACGCTGGTCTAAAATGCAGGGAGACTGAATTAAATGCCAGTTTATAAAAACAATGAAAAAACCAATTAAGGAAAACAAAGAATATGTTTTTTCTTTGTGAATTAAATGTTTTAGCAAAATAAGCATGCCAGAATCACAAAGACACATTTCTGTGCTTCAAACAACAGCATTGTTTTTGAATTTGGATTCACTGAGAGATAATTCTAGCTGGCTGCTGCTTCTTATTTATTTGGTGACACCTCATTACAATAACACAGTTTTCTATTGCTTTCTATGAGCTTTAGTTCTTTGTCTGTAAAAGGGGAGCCATATAAATACTAAAGCAACACCTTTGGGTTGTGTGGAGGAGATAGAAATACATTTTTAAACGTAGCTGATATATCATGGTTTAAATGTTATTACCAGAGGACAGATTATACTTTGTGCTGCATTTTTAGGAGGGTACTTAGTTTTCTGTATTATGAGGTATGTATTAATAATTTACAAACCACACTGTTGGGATGTCACCATACCTATGTGTATATTATCGGAGTTGTCTGCAGATATTTTTCTGTTTGCTGAGGGTGGGGAAGGCAGTTTGTTTGTGCAGAGCAGCAGGTGGATGAGAAATGAACGGAGATACGCTGTTTGTGGAAAGAAATTGCAGACGATGATGATATTCATCCTGAAGTCAAGGAGACAATGAGCTGGTGTTGGTGTGCAGCAGACGGCAGAGTAAGAAGTGCTGATGAGCATGTACGCCATATGCATGACTGTGTGCTACGTCTGTTTATGTGGCATCAAGGGGATTCTGACTCAGTCAAATGAAGGGACATTTTTACTGCAGCTCATTTACAATCATCCGTCTTCGCTGCAGCAGTGACATTCCACATCACAGCATCTGCCAGGACAAATTTTCTCTCTTTATCTCTCCATGCTGTCAACACCTATTTTTTGTGTGTGTGTGTGTGTAAATCTGCCAGTGTATGGAGGCAGGATGATACCAGCCATTTTAAGTCACAATCCTCACCTTTGACCTGCAGCCTGTCAGGCAGAAAGTGACACCATATTCTCAGAAGTCGCTGTGTGAGATCCACACGGCTGCCTTTCCATCTCTATTTATTTCTGTTCCTCCTCCATTCTCCCTTCCCCTCTTTCACTTGCCATCTATCGGTGTCTTATCGGAAACTCGCTCTCATCTTTTCAATCTCATGTCTCTCATCATTACCAGTGCTTGTTGTTCCACTTTATACACTCACCAACCCCTTCGCCATCTCTACCTTGCTACCTTCAATTTGCTGCAGATTTATCTCTTCCTTCCCCCACTTTGCTATATTTAATCATCTTCTCGTCGACATCGCACCTCGGCCTGAGTGAAAAACGAAAGAAAGAGGGAAGAAGATGTCATGCAATAGGAATGGTAAATAAAAAAAAAATATATTTTTTTTTACATTTCCTAGAGGTAGAACTCTTTAGTATTACATAGAGCTTTAATGATATAAAAAACAACAACAATAAAGTATTTATAAAAATATACATATATACTGTTTGTGTATATATATATATATATATACATAGTATATATATACACACAGTATATATATGTTTGAATAAGTGCACAGCCCTTGCCACTGTAGTGGTAACACAGAAGTGGATGCTCTAGCTAATCTGGTTCCCTGTCATTTCAAGGTGAGCCTCATTTTTCAACCAGCGATTGATGGCCTCTGTGTGTGTGTGTGTGAGTGAATGAGTGTGTGTGTGTAAGCGTTTGTGCCGGTGTGCATGTTTCAGGGAGACTTAGACCGACTTTACTGCTCCGTAATCAAAATGCGTCTCTCACTCCTTCATCGCCTGAACAGAACCAATGCAGCTCTTCATTTGCCTTTAGAGACGAGGTGCACAAAACATTTTGCGAATACAGTCAGTCCAACTCTGGGCTTTTTTTGACTGTGTTGTGTTGGCTCAGAGCAACAAAAGAAATCTAATTGAAATTCTGTTCAGGGCAATTTATTACTTGTAGCACTCAATCTGAACCTTAACTGGATAAAGTGGTGGGAGATGAAAGAATGAATTACAATTTATTGCGATAACTATACGTAGAGTTCCCTGTTTTAGGAGTTTCTACGATGTCAATCAAAAGTTTTTACATGGGTTTCTTAAGCTTTTAGTCTTCTAAGTGCACTAAGACCCTAATGTAAAGGTCAAAGGAAGAAGAAGAAGAAGAAGACACTTTTTGAGTGTTAAGTTGGGAAAAATAAGACTGACAGCATAGTTTAAGTTATTCTGTGAAAGTGCTCAGAATCAAAACAAGATCTCAGAAAATGTATAACCAAACAGCACACTTGTTTATTTATTATTTATTTTACAAATACAACCATTATCTCCTAAGAAATAGCATGTTAAAGGCTGCCATTGTGTATTTTGAACTCATTTTAATGATTATCATGGGAAAATGTCAAGACAAAATTTTAAATTGGTCGGCTGGTCATGTGACATCTTGATGATAGCTTGCAGAAGATGTCACACAAAAATAATTAAACTCTCCCTCAATGTCTTGTCTACACTAATTGATATTTTGATCTTGCACCTCAGGCACCTTAGGGGCCATTTTGGATTTCTATAATATGTCAGTATCTTCAGTTCCCTCCTCAGTGTCATCATGTTCCATTTCATCCTGTGCCTCAGACCGAAGGAAGAAAACCTGTCATGAACATCAGAACAGCCTGGAAACCCAGGCTCAGTTTGTTCTACAGCTTGTTTTTGTTGTGCATTTTAATTGGACGCCACTGCGTTTTTCAGGGACGATGTCGCTTTTATCAGCACTTCAGCTGAACAGCCAGGAGCCGCAGAGGCTAATATCATATCAAAACAGCAAAGTATCTGATCTAACTCAGCTTTATTTGAGCTCTGGCATTCACTGTCTGTGGCGTAACGTGGTTTTATTTGTCAACGGAACGAAACAGTGGAAAGAAAAAAGGAATATTAGGATTTAATTGTTCTCCCTCTCACACTTGTGGCAAAAGATGGGGGTAAGAGAACAATAGCAAATAACTATGTGCTGTGTGTAATTGTGGCTCAACACTGGTTCTCCATTTCTTCTCCCTTTACACAGAACAAAAGGCACATGTGGATTCAGAGCAGATTTGTTTTGTGCAGTATTCCTCTGTGTACTGTAGACACAAAGTACTGCGGTCGCTCTTTCCTTTATACCTGTGCCTCTTTTAGTGACAGACCATAATATCTGCAGGGTATAAAGTTTTCTAAGAACCAAGAACAAAGATTATACCAGACAAAAAGTTTCATGTGAAAAGTGGAGTGCAGCTCACAGTGAGATAATCAATAGTGAGCATCACTTCCCTTTTAAGAAAAGAAAAATATAGCCATAAGCTGTGGTTTGCAAAGCAGGAAGTTGTCAGTTTCTGCCTAAGGAGAAAATGATGCATCTTTTTGTAATGTACTCTTTTGGTTTGTGTGTGTGTAGGCTGTGCATGAATTAAGTCCTTGTTAAAAGTAGGAGATCTACTCCAAAAACATTTGAATTATTTTATATTATCATTCATCCTGCTCGGTTGCAGAAGGAAGTAAAACTGACATTAATTCCATTTCCTTTACACTGACAGTCATATGAAACCAGCAGACGACCAGTGGTCAGCCGCCAGAATTCTTAATTAATTTTTTATGTATGGTCCAGGTGACAATTCAATATATAGATGTATCAGTTACACAAAGTGATACCTTAGGCCTCATTAGGTCTTGTCTGTGTCTAGTCAGGAGACACATAAGACACTGAACTCGTGTCCAACGTGCTCAAGTTTTTCTTCATTTTTTTCCCCCTGCAGTTACCAGACAGGTTTAAGGAGAAAATTAAATCTGAAGCAAAACTAATTTTTTTTCCCCCATGATTCCCAGTTGGCCAATGTCTACAGCAGCCTGCTTCAGTCAGGGACTGTCAGCACGGCTAGTTGCACCAGAAATTGGTTCTTTTTTTTTTTTTGTGCAGTGAAGATGCCAATCTGGCCGTGCATCTGGAACAAACCAGTCAGTCAAACATCTTTTTTTCTGTGTGAAATCTAAATACAATCTAGTATGGTGACCTAGATTCTGATCCAACTGTACACGTGTTTCCATCAGCCAATCAGAAGCCAGTGGCAGTCATTGTTTTGGTTTTCATGCTGCTACTGACGACTGTCTCTGATTTATCTCTGTGTCCCATCCTCTCTTTTTTGAGTACTGGTAACACATGTCTACAGTTGAGAGGGTTTGTTCCCATCAGGCACTTGCAGTGCACTCCTTGAAGAATTTGTGCTGGAGTTTAAAGAGTTTGAAGCCCTCATTTGGCTTTAGTGCAAGACATTGTGTGGTCTGTAAACCTTAGGGTTAGTCGTTAAGTGTGTATCCTTCAGGCTGTAGTCGTTTAACACCAGTGTTCTCACACTAGTCCTAGTGTGTACACCCAGGTATTTTAGAACTCTAAATACTGTGAATGTTGTGTATTGTGTATTGTAATCAACTGAGAAAATACTCATTTCCAAGACTGTACAACCACTAATGTGTGCCAGTCTAGGTTTTGCAAATTCCCTTCTCCCGCTTTCCCTCACCCCCTCCCCCTCTCTCTGACACTCTCCTCTTCCTTTCTGTCACCTCATCTCTTTACCCTCTCTCTCTCTCACCTGCCCAGTATTGTGATCACTCCCTCCCTCCCTCCATCCATCCCTCTCTCCCTCTATCCTCTTCTGTCATCTCATCTTTGTCTTAGCTGCTGTATCCGTCATCCTGTCACACAGGCCTGTAAATCTCTCCATCATTAACCAACCATCCATCTGTCCTCCTCATCCCTCCATCCTCTTGCCCCCACCGCCCTTTCTCTCCTCTCCTTCATCCATCTTACTGCCCTTCACTCTTCAAAGTCCCTTTCCCTCTTTCACAGGATCTCATTCTCTCCTGGTCACTGGTCCACAGTTTGTCTGTTTAGCAGGCAGCTTAAATTGCCAGTGACGCACACACACACCCACACATACACACCCACACCAGGAGTATTTGCAGTGACATGTGACTCTGCCCCCCCCCGCCCCCCCCGAACCCCTAGTCCTGTCACTCTCTGTTAACACCTGTTTCGCTCACCGTGAATGTTAATAAAGTCAAATTCCGTAACCTTCTGACTACGTCTCATTAGGAATTTATATTTTATTAGTTTTAATTTAATTTCTTCAAAAAAACAGTACAGGCACAATTACAATAACATTATCACATTATACGTTGTTTGTCACAGACACAGAGGTCGCTTCATTGATTAGCCAGTAGGCTAGCCTCTTTCCATTATAATAACGTTTTTTTGTTTGTTCACATTCTTTCTTTACCATGTTGTTACAGTAGATTAGTAGTAGTAGATTAATTGTAGCTGTAAGAAAACAGACAAGATACAGACCAAATACAGAGCTGCTGCATTAGCCAAGCGCTAAGAGGGCTAGCTTAGCCTAGCATAGCCCCTGAGGAACTGTAGCATTGCTCATAATTACACAGACAATTAAACTTTTTTTGTTGTTGTTGTGTAGCACAATTTTAATATAATCAGACAAAAATGTCAACACCCTATGTTTAGGAATAAAGTTCTACACAGAATAGGACAGAAATGTATACTCAGTCTTCAGTGTAAGGCCTCTTAAGTAAGAACTCTTTCTGTATCCTTATTAATTTTGAATAAATCTCAATTTCTTAAATCAGTAGACCATCATCAAACTACAAAACCAGATATCTGGAGGGTTTTTTGTGTGTCAAAAGGTTTTGACCAAATTATATTATTTATAGAAAGTAATGTCGTATCAACAGTGGGCCATGGAACAGAGATTCTGAATGCATAATAAGCACCACCCACAGGTCAGGAAAGGCAACTACATGCTGAATGATACACAAAATAGTCTACCTGGTCTTTAGAAAGTGGGGGGTTTTTTGGTGTTGTTTTTTTTTTTTTTTTATTTTTTTGGTGTTGTTTTTTTTTTGTTTTCCACAGTTTTGTTTTTTGGTAAAATAATCAACTTGTCTGCTTGTTTCACCTCGATATTTCAATGGCTAAAAATGACAATATTTGAATAAATAATTCTCCCTAACATGCAATTGTTGTACTTTAGAGTTTTAACATGAATTACCCAGTATATTTTCCAGATGCAAACAGCACAGCATTTAACTTATGGCTAACCTATTGATCATTATAATTTAAGCTGGTTAAACTGGTTCAACGTGAAAAAACAAATACAAATGTATTATAGTAACTGCATCTAATCTGATGTACATAAACACACATATGTTAGTGTCAGTTTTCCAGCCAGGTCTTAATCCAAAAGTCTGTTTATTCCTCAGCCCTCATCTTCATCTACGTCATTGTTAAAACAGTGTGTAATCCTGACTCCTCGTCCAAAGTAATAAAACTCAAAATTGTCCTTAAAGTTGCAGTTTTTTACACCATGTCTATGCCATGTCTACCTTGTCTATGCAAAGACAACACAAAAGAGAGAGGGACAGAGAGGAGAGTTTTTAGTGTTTAAGTAAAGCTTCATTGCGATATAATCCCATGTTAAAGCCCTGACGACCGATTCAGATGCTTTTAATAGACAAGCAATACACAATCGCTCTCTCTCTTTATCTCTCTCTCCCTCTCTCTCTCTCTCACACACACACACACACACAAATAAATACACACTGGTAGGGAGCCTTTAGAGTCCATTTAAAGAGTGAAACTTAACAATCTGACAACACACACAAACACACACACACATTTGTACTTCACTCATAAAAAAAATGCACAAATGATATTTTCACTGCGAGGATTAGTCACTAAATGCACTCTCCTCACAACACCGTGTTCACAGTGCCACTTTGTAACAATGCACCCAAGGACACTTCATTGAAATCTCCAGACCCACGTCCACAGCTACTGACGCTTTACAAAATAAGACGTTCAACTTTGTTTTTCATATATACTGTGTTTATATTATTATTATTATTATTCTGGTGCCAGGATATTTTGACTTTCCTTGATTTCCTTATTTCTCCGCACTTGGCTGCTGTGTAGTTTCTTCCATTCAATCACGGTTACCTCAGTGAGTGATGCTGCCCTGACGTCTTAAATCCTGAATAATAAAGTGCCACTGGTTTAAACATTCAGTCTGGAAACACAACCAAACACCGTCTCCCTCACACAGACACCTGAAACATCTGTCAGTCACATCTGTCACTTACCTTTTGTTTTTAGTTTTCCTCTCTGCTCCATATTCTTATATGTTCCTTCATTCCGCTCTCTCTCCCCCCTTGCCTCTCTCTCTCTCTCTCTTTAGTCCTTCAGTCCTCTGTATAGTGCTCTCGACCGACGCTTTCCACCTCTCTATCTCCCTCTCTCTCTCTCCGTCTCATTCTGTTGCTGCTGATCCTCGCATGCTCACAGAGTCCAGTGATCCTTCTCTCTCTCTCCCTCCCCTCTCTCTCTCTCTCTCTCTCTCTCTCTCTCTCTCTCTCTCTCCCTCCCTCCCTCCCTCTCTGGGTGCCTTCCCCACTCTAACTCTCTTCCTTTTATTTTTGTTCCCACTGTGACTCTCTCTCAGATACCATCACTCTGTTATTAATCCCTGCTCCATCTTTTTTCCTTCTCTCTGTTTCCTCTCATTCTTCCTCTTGTCGGTGTCTAATCCAAAGCCCTGGTTTCTATGTGTGTGTGTCTGAACATGTGCTCGTCAGCACTGACCCTAACCTGCTGGTTAAACCCAGTGAAACTTTGAAAGGAAAGAAGCATGAGCCTCTGGGAGTCCAGACAGGACACACACACGCACACACGCACACACACACACACACACACACTATATTGCTTTCATCTGTTAATTTATTAATGTCGTTGCTTTTCTATGTGACTACTAATGCCCTCTCTCACCCTCACTGACTCACTGTGTTACTATCATCCCTTTCTCTCTCTCTCTCTCTCTCTCTACCTTGATCTCCCAGTTGGGCTGTGTCGTCACTGCCCTTTTTTGCCTTTGTATTTCTTCTTTGCCTCTCCACACCAATTGTTTTCCTGTGTTTTATCTGCCAGGTTTGGTCTTTGCCCTGTTTGACTCCCGTCAACCTTCCTCCCTCTTTTATTCTTTGCCTTCTTTGAACACAAAATAAGGAAAAGTGACACAGCATTATTTCTTCAGGCAAACAAGACAAAAGGTGTTGGAATGAAAGACGAACTGATATTAAAAAGCTGCGTGGCATCAGGTTCTCATTACGCTTAATTATGAGCATCGTCTCGTCGTGCCTGGCAGGAGAGGTGTACCTGCAAATCATTTTCTAATTTTGCACGCGTCAGAAACGATGGAGACATTTGCCCATATGCACATCTTTAATAGGCAGGAGTAATAAGGTGGATCTGAGTCAGATCAGAAATCAGCAGATAAGAGGGTTTTAGAGCAGATGAGGTTTGAAATGAAATTCATTCTCAACTGGATAGACGGTTAATCATTTGAAATGCTTGTCATGAATAAACACTAGTTCGGGTGACGTTATCGGAAAAATGTAATGTCAGCCTTTTATGTCTTTATGCCCTGCAATTAAAAATGCAAATGAAGCGTTTAGCCATGAACGGGAGAAATGAGGAGCAACAGCCGCTTTTCCTTTGTACAAGAAATGAAGTGTTTATATATGTGCATATATATATTTTTATATATATATATACACATATATATGAGCATACATATGCACACACACACATATATATATGCACATATATGGAAGGAAGGAACGGAAAGTAGTTGTCAATACTACTGGTCATTGTGACACAGCACAACGACAAGTACAGTATCTATCTATATATATATATATATATATATGTGTGTGTGTGTTAATGCCACTTGTGATTTCAGATTCACATTCAGGTTATACCAACCTTTGAGCGTGTCAAAAACCTAGCAGGTGGTTGTACTAACCAGCAGGTACTTGGTTCAAACCTGAAGTGTGAAGTATTTTGAGCTGTCATCAGGGCCGAGTAAAAAAACATTCAACATTATCTTACTGGATACCTAACCATTAAAAAAACAAGATCCGCCTCCTGTCACTAACATTTGATTCAATTACTTGCAACTTATACTTTTGCGAAATCAGTTAGGATTACTCGTGAACAAACTCTTTCTCCCTGTGATGTAGTAAACCAAAGTTTTCTTAGTCAAACTAACTCATCAGGAAGACACTTCTACTGTTTCAAGTTTCATTATATTTCCAACTTTGGTCTTCTTCCTAATTGCCAGTGTGGACATTTCACAATGTGTTTGAGCAGAGTTGAAAGTTTCACATTTTTCTGCCGGGCAGCCGGAGTACAAAGCAGGATTTGCAGTAATTCTCCGGTCACAACCTGCTTCACTGCCATGTCCAAGGACTGAAATCCAGTTCCTCTTAACTTTTCTTTTCTTTTGCAAAGTTTGAGTAGATTTTGTCTAAGAATAGATAGTGCTCTGATTTCAAACCCTTTTTTCATTTTTTAGAAGTTGAGAAACTTGTCAAAGCCGTGTAGAAACGATGTTTCTTAAAATGTTCTTGTACCTTGTAAGATTTAAACAGCCGTCCTTGTTCTTTTTGACTCATCCCTATATATGGTTTCTGGGGCGTATTTTTGGCAGAGACAGTAGTTATTTTGACAGGATTGTGACTGTGTGTGTGTGTGTGTGTGATGGTGTGTGTGTACTGTTGGTGTGGAATGTAAAGTCAATGTAAAGTTATTTTTCTTTTATTTTTTAGACATTTAGAAACATTTAGACATTTTCAAAACCAAAAATGCATGAGTACATTCTTATAATAATAATAATATAATAATAATAATAATATGTGAAATAAAGTGTACATAACCAGATTAACCAGGTTGCAGAGCAACATATCAGCCTGACTGTATATATAAAAATGATGCATCTGTGCATAAAAATTTACAACGTTTATAAAATATGCGACAGTTGTGCTGAGTCTGTGAACAGAATCGTATCACAGTCGAGGTGTGGGAGGAAGACAGAGAGTGAAACCGAGAACCTTCACTACTTTAGTTTGACTTTTGCAAAAATGATTGTGTTTTTTTTTACCTGACTGTGAACTACATTGAGGTAAAAATATTGATTTTTTTTTTTTTGGTAGTATTTCTTTAACCATAAGAATCCAACAGACTAAAAGGCAAATACACACTTGTGTCCACCTAGTTCTAGACACACAACCTCAGCATCCTCACACACACACACACACACACACACCAACTCTAATTACACCGCTGCACAATCCATCTCCCCCTCCATCATCTTCTCCGTACTTCTGATCTGAGCGCAGGTGGTGGGAAAATAAGTGAGGTCAAAGATGACAGCATGTGACTGTGAGGACACTTTGATCAGTGCCGTAGGCTGACTGTGAGAATGCCCGTCCTAGAATTTTTGGGTTTTAATACACAATGTTATAAAATTGAGATAAATCACAGCTGAGAGCACCGTAATGAGTTTCCACCTGGGGTGAGGAAATAAAAAATAAATAAGAAATAAAGGAGGACAAAGGATGTTGAAGGCATCGGTCCTTCTGATGTAAAATGAAATAATTTTTTTGCCCCATAAATTCTTAGTCAGCTTAGATCCTGCCCTCTAACTGACTTCCTGTCACTTTATTCATTTATTACTAATTATTTTGTGCAAAAATGTATAGTATATGTTTTTTTAGTGTACTCACTGATACCAAGGTACTGGTACCAAAATTTCATTAGGTTTGGTTTCAATAAATATGCAATGAAGCAGGAAGGCAGTGTTTTACAGGCTGCACAGCCCTGTGGGTAATAGGGCGACGGGAAGTGTGTAGATGAGCTCAGCCCAAACCACAGTGAAGAAAATACTTTCAGTTACAGTCAATTGTATTTTCTTCTCATTAACAGAAAGATATGTCGAGCAGAATGGAAACAAATTTTATTTTATTAAACAAAAAGGTCTTAAAAATGACAGATAAAAAATATATATAGATACATAAAAATAGGTATATAAACAAGATAAACAAATTGTAACTTTTTTGCCTAGTCAACACAGTCTGCTCAACAGAAAGTGAGCAGAGCTTTTGCATCAGTAGTGCGCCAACCTTTGTGTTATGTTTAGTTGCTCTAATCATGTAATTATTCAAACTAAAAAAAGCTGTTAAGAAATATCAGATCACTCATGTTCTCTAATTTAAGTACAAATATTAAAGGGAATATCAGGCTCTATTCCCATTGTGGAATCTGTAATGGTGGATTTCAAATATTATTCCTGTTTACCTTGGTGACTGTTGCTCCACTATTTCTTCGAAGAGCTGTTTTTAACCAGCTAAAATGTATTGTAAAAAATTGCTTTTAATAAATTCTCAGATAATGTAATTTTCTAATTTAACCTTGAGCGACCTCAGACAAAAGAGACTACATGGTAACTGCAGTCTGCTCTTGGCAGGAACACAAACAGCTGAACGTTTTGTTGTGATACAAAAGCACTAACAGTTTAAACTGCCCTCAGTTCACCACAGTTATTACTAAAAATGTTTATCGTAGAACTTTAAAGGAACGATTGGTCTTACGCCAAGGTTGAAAACTTGTCTTTTTTATTAAATGCATTAAATGTCAGCAGGTTTACAGTGAATGAACAAGTCATATTTAAATGATTGCAGAAATTTGAAAAATGCTAGTTTTCCAATGGAACGTTGAATTAAATTCAATTAGAACATTTTTCAACCATTCAAAAAAGAAACTATGTAAATAAAAAGAAATCTTGCTGTACTGTAGTATATACAAATGCATATCACGTCTGAGGCATCAGTGGTGCAAACTCTATTATATTCTTCACAGAACACAAACAATTCCCACCGTGATTCGGCTGGTGTTGAAAAGTACAAGGAAAAATGTTCTTTCTTACCAAAAGCAGAAACCTTGATCAGAGCTGAGTTTGTTGTGGGGAGCTGAGAGAATTTTTTTTGTTTGTTTGGTTTTTTTTTACCTCCGCCATCTGTCTGAGGTGGAGAAAAAGATATTGGGTTGCAATGCTACTGTCCCATGGAGATATGCTGTAATATTAATAGGACTAATAACTCTGCTGCTCCAGGGGCAAAAATACCTTCAGAAAATGACACGAACAGAGAACAAAGAGAGGAGTAAGCACAGGAAGTACACAGAGGTCAGGAGAGTGAGAGTTAATAACCTGGACTTGAACGAAAAGTACGCAGTCATGCTTAATGTTCTCAAACTAAGACCATACAGCGTTTCACCCTCCATTGCTGGGGGCGCTGTAAACGCACTTGTAATTACCCAGTCCATGAGTTTGGTGCTGTGGTACAAAGTTAACGTTTTATGTAAAACTAAACTTTAAAAACTTGTATTTCAAGATTTACAACTGTGAGGAATCAGCAGCAGCTTGACATCAATTTAGTTGCATTACTGCCACCTATTGGCTTTGATAGTTACTCTTAACCATTCTCCATAATAACCCCTTTAAACACAGTACTTTATGTACAATTTTTATATGTATTCATAAAGACATTACCAAATGTACTTTACTACATATCGTCCAAACTACTTCCTTCTTTGTATAATTCCGGGGAATGTCTTAGGTTGTCTTATGTTCTTTTAATTTGGGAAATAAAAAATAGAGGGCGCTAGATCAGGGCTGTGAGGAGGCTGTGGTAGAATTTTCCATCAAATTTCTCATTAGATACTCAGCGGTACAATTCTTCTCTGTTCTTTGTAGCCAGTGCAGCCTCAGGCTTTAACAAAGCTCCTCCAGTGAAGCTATAAGTTACTGCTGTCTGTCCTCTGTGAGGAAAATCAATAAGTATTATCCAGGTCTGCTGAGTGTAAATGTCTTAGAACTTTTTGACTAACCTTCTCACGTACTTGACTTTTACAGACCGGAAAATTTCACAACTAAACTGTGGAAATGAATTGTGCTCTTTTATGAAGAAACCACTTGTAAAACATGCGGGGTTCATGTTGGTGATCCCTGTGGAACTCTGTCCTTTGATGTCACTTCTCTGATTTCTACAAATGCTTCAGTTCATACGTAGTACGATCTCAAACAGAAGAATTCAAACAACTGTTTCATATCTCACTGACCGAGTCCAAACTTGTACATTTGATTATATATAGTTGGTACATCTGAGCCTCAGCTCGCTTCACTTAGAGAACACGTGTCAAACTCAGGCCCGGGGGCCAAATTTGGCCCGCACTGTAATTATATTTGGGCCGCTAGATCACATCAAATGTGAACTAGAGTTGGCCCGCCAGTATTTAGCCCCTATATACTGGCAGGATTTGTAGAATTAGCGATGTATGCATTGTATGTTATAGCACATACATTATGTTTCTTTGTTGTTGGCCTGTGAAAATCAGGTTTACATTAAAAATGAACTCAAAAGGCTACAGATAAAGAGAAATTGTGTTTATAAAGTTAAGCTTTGGTTTTTCCAGATTCAGTGTTTACTCAAACATAAAGTTTATTTCCATATGAAAACAAATCTACATTATAGATCTGGAGAGAAAGGAAATTGTGCACATTTCCAGTCAGTCTTTCAGTAAATATTAAGTTTGTAGCATCACAGCTACCAGACGGTTCAAAGCAGACTTGATTGAGACATAACTCCAAACTGCATCAAAATAGAACATTTGAAGCTCCACTCTTGAAGACACAGAGGTGACTTCCTATCCAACCCCACAGACTGCTGAAGGCTCGGTCTGTGATTCTATTTTCGGAAACTTCTAGGAACCAAAGCTAAGCCTGATTTTCCGAGACTGATGTGCTTTAGTGAGAGCTGATGGTGTGTGATGTCGCTGGATCACTGAGCATTTTGTTAAAAACTGTGCTTTTTTTTATTATTATTTTTCTTGAAAAAATAAAGGGCGTTGCATGTAGTTTAATAAGACAATGAGACTCTTTATATTCAAGGCCGATTCCCTCTGCGTGGGTGAGGAGAAATTAGCTGAGAACTTGAGTCAGTTGGCCTAAGGTGAAGCACTAACTGAATTTTTCATGTATTTAAAAAAAAAAAGGTTTGCAGATGATTTAATGCTTTGGCAATAGGAAATCTTTGCTCACATGTGAGTTCACATATATTTTATCCATGTCTCCTGGGACTAGGAGCCTAATTTTAGCCTGTGTTAGTGCATGCACATGCGTGAAAGGCCGTCGGGGGTTCCGTGATACTGTCACGGAAAATACTTTGTGCAAATACCCCAATGAATTGGAGAGGCTGAGAGCAAAAGTAAACAGGACGGAGCTGCAGCGGCGCCACGGTAACGGCATCTTTAAAAACCAATTCCAGAACACTGACTATGAAAGGATTTGACTTTATGGCTGCAGGAATATGTTCAAGAGATCTTGTAAAGCCCCTCGTGCTCATTGAAACATCCTTGAAGTGGGGAAAATAAATTCTAAATTTACAAATCAATAACACTTAACAAGAGTTTTGGACCAATTTTAGTCCAATTTTGAAGTTATTCTTGCACCTTTTTACCCGCAAATTACCCAAACTGCAGCAACTCCACAACTTTCTGCTCCATGAAGTTAGGGAAATTGAATTCTACCATTTGCATTCTGAGCAGAACGCCACGAGCAGACGGACCAGAGCCCATTACAGACCGTCTGTCTGTGTTGTGCTACAGATTTTTCGTTCATCGTTTCTGGCAGTGCACGTGTTCCACCAGAGAACCGGAGCTTAACTCGTTCCTTGGGAATTGATTTTAACATTTATGTCAGAGATACACCGGCCAATTTCATCTGTTGGAGGTCGATCTATGAAAACAGCTCATTTTCAGTAATAGTGCTCAGTTTGATTTTGCAGGTTTGATTCTACTCTTTAAATGCATACATCAAATATCTGCAGTTGTAAGACTCAGTTCTGACCAATACACTCGTAGTAATACTTTGATACTTTGCAGCTGTAGCTGAGATTATGATTCCCATCATCATTCACGTCTGTCGTTCTGATGACAGAGTGACTTTACATCTTTTGATACGTTATCAATGAGTTGCTGACGGTGGGACGGACAGACAAATAGAGGGTAATGTGGTGGAGGGGGGGGGGGGGGGGAGAATCCCAGACCTCCACAGCATCTGTGTCCTGTTTTGTCACTAATCTCCTCTCTGTTGCATCAGCCCTGCAGCGCCACATGTCCCCAGACTCTCTGCCTCTGTCGGCCACATTCACACTGCAGTCATTTCATTCCAATTTTCCCACATTTGTATTTGAATGTCATGAAACAACAGGACGTGACATGACGTGTTGATGATCATGTAGAGACATGAACACAGATATCTGGGTCTGTGGGTGTTGTGGAAGTGGAGAGTCCTCGGAGAGAACCAGGTCTAGTGAAGTAGGGCAGTGACCTAAACTTCTGCAAACACACATACACACCACACACAGACACACACACACACACACAACTTTAGTTAAAGTCTCTCCCCGTCTCTGGCTGGGTCTGCTACAGGTGTGTCTTTGTTTATGCCAAAAAATCATGTTCTCCATTAAAATCCTGAAGGTCCTGGGGACAGAGGCTGTTTCTGGCAGACTCAGAGTGTAAACAAACTGCCAAACACCATTTAATCTGTCGTCTCTACTTAATATATTTTAAAACAAAATTATTTTTTCTTTGACTTTTGAATTTAATACCTATAACCTTCCAACGGGGGTCCCTTCTTGGAAGAACGGTGCGTGCCCGTGCCTTACAGTTGGCTGGTCAACTGTCCAGCCTGTACCCCACCCTCACCCAACCACTGCAGTCGCACGATCATTAGATAAACACTGGTGCTAAAACCTGGCAAGATTTCTTTAATTGGCTCTAAACTTTTTATGCACAGACACAGACCCTGATCTTATTCTCATTCTCACTGCATCTGAGAATCATTCATATTCATATCTCTGTGCCAAAGTGTATTTCATTTTCAGCGACTGTGCAGGATCATTTTCCCACAGCACCTTTGGCCCTTTTTACTAAAGAGAGATACAGTAGCTACCACAGTCAGATTAGCCAGGGAATCTCAGCTGGAGTTCACTGCAGCCCTGAGAACTGTCAAATCCTTAACTGTGAAGATGGATAAACGTCATCTCCACGTGGAGAGTGGCAGAGCAGAGGACCATAAAACGTTAGGATAACAAATTAGAAGTGTCATTATACATGGAGCACCAGCCAAAACACCCTGTCTTTATGCTTTTTATGTTTCTCACTTCTGGTGTCCAAATATTTTCACCCTCTTTCGAACACTTCTGGCAGCAATAAGCTGAAAAAGCCGAGCTTTTTGATGACACTTGTAAAGTGTTTATCTGTGGAGAAAGAAAAACACAGCTTTTATTTTTACATCTATTTTTTAAGTGTAATTGTTTTGTTTTTTTTTTGTTTGTGTGTTGGTTTTCAAGAGTTTTATTTGAAAATATGCCACATTCTTTAGGACTTTGTCACTGCAGGGTACAGTTTAACGACAATATTTTTGGACTCAAGTTCTTTTTTACCAAACACCCACATTTGAGCTCTTAGAGTTGGTACAACATCAAATCTGATGGAGAATGTTTTATGTGAGATGTATTGCATTTAACATTAGCAGAACTGTACCATGACCAAACACTAATGAAGCATTTCTTTCCACTCTGTAGTCCAGGGTGGTCGCCTGTATGACAGCTATATTGAGTCAGATGGATGATCGCCATTATTCTACATACATAGAAACCTTCTCTGGAACCACTGATCTGGTGGTAAGTACAAACGCACAAGAGACGCCTGCACTAGCCATTGCAAATGACTTTGTCCGTGCCATTAAAGAACAAATGTATTGAAAAGTAAAGCAGACAAACCGTGACAATAATCTTCAGACTGATTTAATCTTATTTCCCTGCAGGACTTCCTGATGGAGTCCTTCCTTTTGTTCAGGGACCTGATCAGAAAGCATGTGTATCCGTCTGATTGGATGGCCATGATCATGGTCCAGAACAGGTACCTGAAGGCAAACACACACAAACATGGATCACCGAGCTATTGGTCTTAACTCTGTAAACCGTATCACCAAAGGCCATCGCTGCCACTCAGACCTTTAAAGGATTGTTTGCATCTGCAGTGACTCGTCCTCACTCACAAACTCACGAGGGGTTCAGTCAGAGATATTGAAGCCAGGATCAAGGAAGCAAAGACCAAACCAGCTGATGCGACAAATGTGTCTGTGTGTGAGCTGATGGAATAAAGCCACATGGTCGGCTTCTTCAGATGTGGAGAAGACAGGCTGTTAGACTTATGTCAGGGATGAGAAAAAGCAACCGTGCAGGAGCGAGGGTTGGGCTGCTACAAGTCTGCAGACAGACGTCAGTGGAGGCTTTGGAAACCAGTGGTTCATTTCAAAGTTGAGGTCCTGTCATGACCGGGAGCTGAAAGTTAAACAATGACGCAGCAAACAATAAAACAAAAACCGTAACAATGTTTTGGTCTGTTCTGGATAACGGTCCCAATCTGGACCTTCTGGACCTCAGATCTGAGTATTTGCTCGGGCCTTTGTAGATAACACAGCAGCACAGTGAACATCTTACTGATAAAAAGACTGAAGAAATCTGGTGGTAAAAATGATCGCAGCGTGATCAGCCTCTCTTCTCCTCTGCAGCTCAAGACTGAAAGAATCAATTCACTGTGCAGTGAGGCTCAACGGTGACACGCCGTGAACATCAGAGCTCCGAATGTAAAATGAACAGCTGTCAAATAGTTTGAACTTCCTCATACGTTGTCATCAACAGCTGCAGAGGCAAACTAAAGAGGTTCCAGAGAATCGTGTCTGTACAGAGTTTTTATGTGACCAATTTCATTTGTAAAACTCTCAACAGATTCAGAAAATAATTCCAGCAACTGCTGCCACTGTAAAACCATGAAATGTTGAGATGTGGTCAGAGGAAGTAGTAGATGGAAAAATAAAAATAAATACATTTGTACTTTATTGATCCCATATTTGGGAAGTTCTTGTGTTAGCCGCAGATATGCTGTTAACAGGCTGCCCCTAGCAAGTGTCAGGCATGTGGTGCCTCTGGGAATCAAACCCAGCACTCTCTGTTCTCTGCTTCCGAGGCAGGCGTGCTAATCACTAGACTGTAGAACCATAACCACTGCACTATGGAAATGTCAAACAAGTGACAATCTGAAAGGATCCTCCAACAGCACGTTAGCTGAAACCTTGGAAATTCTACAGATAGATATGATTACTGAATCTCTGAGACACAGTGGGAAAGTGGTTAATCTCTCTTGCCTTGCAGGATGATCAGTAGTTTGAGTCCCACAGTGGGAGGAGTGTGTAGGTTTTTCTCTCAGAAAAATCTGAAACGTTATCTATTTACATCAATTGTTTATGTCTATTAATTATCCATTAACTGTCTATACATTGAATAATTAACAGTGTATTTCCATATTTAGGGTTTTCCTCAGAGCCATCAACACCTACGCTGCCACCATGAACCAGAAGTTCCTGAACAATGACGACTTTGAAGTCCAGGTCTTTGAATTTCTGTTTTGTTTTGGTTTCTCCTCATAACAAGACTAAAAACTACTTTAACTAACGCTCTACTCCACCATCATGAATCTCTTCTCTCTCTTTCCATCACCCCTGCTCCTCCTCGTCATCTAGTTGTGGAATAACTATTTCCATTTAGCGGTGGCGTTTATTACCCAGGAGTCTCTGCAGCTTCAGCATTTCTCGCCAACCAAGAGGAACAAGATTCTTGCCAAGTGAGAGAAGCACATAGAATTTCCTTATTTACCACACCTACACGCCGGCTCTAATGAAACACTCTGTGATTTGTGATCTATTTTGAAGTCTGCGCTCACACTCCCACCACCCGTTAAACTTTCCTGTTATGTGTGTTTGGACATCAATCCAGGTCAAGTCGGGGGGCACATTAATACCGACTTATCTCCCCCCACTGGACAGTTTAGTTTAAAACTATTGATCAACACATTATTCTAAACGATGTGTCTGATTTCTCCTCTCTTCTCATATTTCTGGGAATTTTCTCTCTCTGTCTCATTCGACTCAGATATGGAGATATGAGGAGACTCATTGGTTTTGCGATTCGTGACATGTGGTACAAACTCGGTAAGAAAATCCTCCTGGGGTGCTCTGCTGCCACGGAGCTGTACATAAATGTGTTTAAACCTTTGTGAAACCGTATCTTCTCCGTTTGTTGTCTCTCAGGCAGTCATAAGATCTGCTTCATCCCCGGCATGGTGGGCCCCATCCTGGAGATGACTTTGATTCCAGAGGAGGAGCTGAGAAGAGCAACCATTCCCATCTTCTTCGACATGATCACCTGTGAACACGTTCACTCCGGGAACTTCCTCAAGGTACCTGCGTAATTAACATTATTAAAGTGTTGGGACTGTCGGGCGACGTTCCCTAGATCAGGGGTCACCAACCTTTGTGAAACTGAGAGCTACTTCAAGGGCACTTAGTAACACGAAGAGCTACTTGTTTGACACAGACTTCCCCAACATTATCATAATAATAAGTTTTGGTACAAACAATAGTAGACACTCTTCTTACCATCGTCTTTGCAGCCATTTAAATATCTTTGCAAGTGTAACTGATTCAAAAAGCACAGTAACAGTACAATGTCTGATCCTCTTGTTGACTAATTATATTTGGGTAGTCCATGGGGGCTTCTAGTTGACCCCGGGCGCCACGTGACCCCTGCCCTAGATATTGCCTCACGATCTCTCCGCTCGACTAGGGAATGTCGTCTGACAGTCCCAACACCCCGCACAAGGCAATCAAGAGGTTTTTGGGGCGTTTGGGATCATGTTTTCCAGGAGTTTACAAATAATGTCTATCACCTTGGGTCCCCAGGGTCCCCAGAAAAAAAAGTTTGAGAAACACTGCTCTATTTAACGTGATTGTTAATCCTCTTCTTCTAAGTCACTTCTGTTAAAAGCGTCTGCGAAATGCATAAATGTAAGTGTTAAAATAAATAAGCCTAAGTCTGGTCCAAACACCAGTGTTGTGGCTCTGAAGCCCAGTGTAGATGTGTCGATTGATTTTCTCTGGATGTGCAGTATCACAGGAAAAGTTTCAGAGACAGTCTAGTTATGTCTGCCTAATTGATTGTTTTTCCCCACTGCTCCTTTTTATTTGCCTCATTCTTATGTTTTTAATTCTTCTCTTCTGTCTCTCTGTTTTCACAGTTTGAGAATGAGATCATTCTGAAGTTGGACCACGAAGTTGAAGGAGGAGGAGGAGATGAGCGCTACATGCAGCTACTGGAGGCTATGTAGGTTAACAGCGGTGTAGAGAATGATGACAATAGACGTTATATGGAGTATAAAAATACTACTTTGAATATAGTGCTGTGGTGTTATAGTAATTAGTTGACATTCTGGTAGTACTACAGTAATATGCTGTGAAAGTACTCTTTGGTATTTATATAGTTAGCAACTTAATAGCATTTAATTATTTCAGTATTTCTTTAATATGACCAAAGTACTTCAAGTCGTACTGTATCAATCACATAACATTTACCACATTTACATCTTTTAAAATATTTAAGCTTCTTAACTCTGTTCTACTAAAAATAAGTCTCTCTTTGGCTGTTTTCACGTCCACCAGTATCATCACTAATCAGCTTAGAACAAACTGGCATCTGAGAGGAACTTTGGACAGAAACCAGAGAAAAGTCAGTTTCTCTACAGGGTTTTTTGTTTGTTTTTGTTTTTGCCCTCGTTTTTCTTTGCTGCCGTCTCCAAAGCCTTCAGGTTTTTGAAACAGGTCGTATTTAATGAAACATAAATAACTGTGAACAAATTGTCAGGTAATTTTTTAAACAGAGATCAGTAAACATATATTCTTTAAATATTACTTAAATCGAAAGCAGGTCTTAGTCTTTTGGAAAATCCTGAAAATAAATAAATATATATATATATGGCCCGGATGTTTTTGATGACTAACTTCTGTGTGTGTGTGTGTGTGTCAGCCTCCTGGAGTGTGTTGCTGAGACGCCTACACTCAGGCCACAGGTTCAACACTTTGTTGCCTTGGTTAAAGGACTGCTAATTCGGCTGCTGGACTATCGCACCGTGATGAGCGACGACAGCCGTAACAACCGCATGAGCTGCACTGTCAATCTTCTGGTGAGTCTCAGCTGATTTGAAACAGACCACCCGGGGCTTCCCTCACC